AAAAAGAAATAAGTTCAAAAGAAAGGAGCATCAGTTGGAAAGAAAGAAATGAAAAAAAAAATGATAAGAAAAACAAAAAAATAAAGAAAAGACAAACGCAAATGTTAGAAAAGGTAAACAAGCAGTTTCATGTTTGTTTCTCGGCACTTCACACCTGCGACTGTTTTCAATAAGTGTCGAAAGGTTTATGTCTTAATTTATTTATTCACATATTTGTGGGGAGTGTACGAAATTGAGATAGATAAATAAATAGATAGATATTAATAACATAGGATAGATAGATATGAATTGTTTATGATATATATAGAAGTAGATAGATACATGTGAATAGCTTATGAAAGAAAAATATATATGAATAACAAAGCATAGATATGACTAACAAATATATATATATATATATATATATATATATATATATATATATATATATATATATATATATTTTATATATGCCTATATGCATATACATTTTTTATAGATACAAATATTTAAGTAAATGCTCTGTTTATAAAAATCAGTATCAAACAACATTGACTGGCCTGAATGTCTGAAAAATTTTCATAGAAAATATTCGTCCTTCGACTGGAATCGAAACTGTATCCTCTACGGAACCGTCATTTAGGCCTGACGTGCCTTAACCGTTTCGGCCACAGAGGAGCGTTCGGTTAGCAAGGTCGAATTTACTGTCTTTAAACTACAATCCTCCATGATTCTCTCACATTCATATCTGCTCATGGCGTATCCAAATGTAAACAAATGACGTCATACATTATGAAATGGACAAAGTTCGACAATTATTTTAAGACATTTTTATATTTCTATTTGACTTAAATATTTTTATCTATTAAAAGAATGCATAAACATAAATATGTCTTAAAATAATTGTCGGACTTTGTCCATTTCATATATATATATATATATATATATATATATATATATAGAGAGAGAGAGAGAGAGAGAGAGAGAGAGAGAGAGATATGAATATGATGTCATAGACAAGTATATACACATGAAAAGAATGTGATTGCCAGCTAGATATATGTAAAGGAATTAGTCTGTGAAAAAACAAATAAAGTAATAATCTTGAAACACAGCTGAATAAATTGAAATGATTTTATTATCGAGTATAAAAGTAATCTTTGTTTTCTTTTTTTAAAGATGGAAGAAACAAGTTATAAAGTTCCTCACAAGCAAAGCTCAACGAAGTACGTTTTATTTTTGTCTTTTTACAACTCAAAAAAATGAATTGCGTTAGTATAAGATGAAAAAATATATATGAATACTTAATGACAAAATACACGATTTACGTTATTTTATATATGTGTATGATGTTATTTTATGTATGTGTATGAAGTGATTTACATTATTTTATGTATGTGCATGATGTGATTCCAGCAGCCGGCAAACTATTAAATAAGAGTACAACTACCATTTTTACAATTGCATTTATATATTTCCTTTGTGTATTGCCGTAATATACCTGTATAAAATGGTTTATGAAAATACCTTTTAAAAAAATGAAAAATAAGTTGAAAGAAGTAATTTATTACTCTATAAGTTAATTTGTGTATGCGAAAATTTGAGAATTCAGTAATGCTTACATTCCCCGTTCAAATTATACTGACGACTGAAGAATATTAATTTACATTACGCTGTTTATAAGAAAAAAATGGATCGCAAGTTAAATGTTAAATTTATTAAACTCAAAAGTTTTATTGGTTAATAAAGATATTTCACAATTTTTAATTTCAATTTTTAGCACGGTAAAGAGTGTTAATCATTTTCTTATGAGTCTTCAATTTTTTGTAGAAAATGTTAAGAAATGTTGTTTGTTTTTGAAATCTTGAATAGCATTTGAGACAAGCTCTTTGGTTAATGAATGCTAATGTGTGAATTTCAATTTGAAGTTCGTGTGTTCCAACTTTTTCACAGAATTGAGATTTTAGTAATATATATTAATTTATTGTTTGAATCTTATTTTTAATGGATTTTCTGCTATGTTTTATTTATTTATTAAACAGTATATTTATTTATTTACATCTACCAACATTTACATTCGAGAAATCTCATTAAAAAATATGCGACCACTGGCAGGATTGGAACCTGCGCCATCACAACACACACATTGACACACACAAGAACCTCCTAGTCAAACAATGTATTTTTCGATAATCGTGTAAAAGTATTTGTTCAAAAGCGCTATTCGAGCTTTGTTTGACCAGAAGGTTCTTTGTTTCTGTAAGTCAACAGAATAGCTATAGATATGAACATTTTGAGATAGATAGATAGATAGATAGATATGAGCATTTTCGAATACATTGATAGATATATATATAGATATATATAATACATTAATTTATTGTTTAGAACGTTATTTTTAATGGATAGATAGATAGATATATTTTCGAATACATTGATAGATATGAGCATAGATGCTTTTCGATGTTTTATTTAGATAGATAGATAGATAGTATATTTATTTAATTACATAGATATGATTTTTGAGATAGATATGACCATTTTAAATTAGACTGAACATATGGGCTTTGAGATTAAAAAGATAGATGCACCACTTTTGGCATAGGTCTATATTTCTGGAACCTGCGCCTCTTAGAGGAAACCGTCATTAGGTCGCTGATGTATTGACCACTCAGCCACGAAGAACCTCCTAGTCAAACAATGTATTTTTCGATAATCGTTTTTCAAGTCATTTGTTCAATTTTGCTGTTAAGCGTCTATTTGCGAGCTTTTCTCTGTTTTACTGGTTCCCAGAAGGTTCTTTTTGTTTGTGCTGAACGAATCCAATGGTGTTCATGAATATCCCACAGCTATAGATATTTTTCTACTTCCCCTCGAACATTTTGAGATAGATAGCATAGATAGATACACAGTAGATGGGTGGAAATAATCAAAGATGCTCCCAGATGGTGAGATAGATAGATAGTATCAGAGATAGATTAACCTCTGACTCTTCCCTAGAGGAGCGGACCAGTATTCAATAGATAATCTGATGGAGATGTTGATAAACAACACACTTCGGAATGGGATCTCACATATATCGACAGGATGAGGGCTTAGTAATGGGCTCGCCATTATCACCAGCAATGGCGAATATATACATGGAATACTTTGCAAATTTAGAGTCTATAGATAGATACGATAGATCAGAAGAAGTAGATTCTTCTGGACCATGAACTAATAAGATTTCGATAGTTCATGGAGAAAGATAACAACTCACCCCATTCCTGATATGAACAGAGAATGGGTTCATTTTCACCGGACATACATCCATATAGATAGAAGGGATCGTCCGATGCCTATTAAGTGGCGATCCAGATTAGATAATTGGTCAGTATAAGTAGTACCCTACAACGCAACAACTAGGGTACATGGATGGATAGGCGGGTACAAGAGGAGGAGGAGGAGGAGGACAACAACACTCAGAAAACAGTCTGCCTGCCTTTGTGAAGGGGTTATCAGAGAAAATACAAAAGATCTGCGGTCCATATAGATTCAAAAGCGTGACAACACTTCGCAGGTATCTCTCACGAGTGAGACCCCCATTGAACATGATAAAAGATGTGTATATCCCATGCAGCTAAAGAATATAAAGGAGAGACAGGCCGCCCCTCATTCAAGAACACCAGAAAGCTAACGATAGAAAAAATCAGATATGAGAGATTTTGGGATCATGAATACAGGGAACACCATTGGAAAATTCGTAAACTTAAGAATCAGAATATGCTAGGCCACATAAATCTCCTGAGCCGACCAAGCATAGAAATAAATACAATATGGGGAACCAATATAGTGCCAGAGAAAAGCAATGATAACAAAGAATATGAACTCTGGTAAAGACATGCAATGATAACAGCAAAAAAAATTGCAATATGAGCACTGGTAAAAATGATGCTGAAAAACATTAGGTTTATAATACTCAGAAGTTCATACCCAGATGTCCTCATGGCACAGTGGATAAAGGCGTAGATAGATAGTTCAATTCCTGATAGATAGATTAGATAACTGATAACTGACATCCATCAAACATGGCATGGAATTAGAACAACCCCATCGAAATAAAGGGTTCAGTTCGAAATTCCAACCACCTGAAGAAGGCCGGAGCGTACAACGGCCGAAACGTTGTGACAAATATGGCGACAAAGATGAGGACAATAGTCCGACTAATGTAAATACTGTATATATATGCATGCATAATTATTCATATTAATTAACTAATGTCTTTTAATTCACACCCCAGAACTCAGACCTTTCCTACGTTCTTTTAGACATGAAGAATAATGGTCTGTCATCCTCTCACTCTGGCCTAATAATTGGGTTAGAATTCAGTGTTGTCTTTCTCCTACTCTGATCGCTCTATGAATGCTAAAAAATTCGTATTATTTTACATTTAGCTTGGCGTGGCGTCAAAAGAATTAGATTTATATCTTTCCTAAATGGCGACATAAATTCAATTCAGTCAGCCGGGATTTGAACTCAGCATGCTATAACAATGATGCCACCCACCTTTCCACATATACGTACATAGATGTTATATTAACTCTTAGTAGAATGTTGTTCCACAGACTCACCACAATACGTGTTGCTATTCTGGTTTCCGTGGGAGTTTTGACGAGGTGGAGTTGCTAATCACCCGCCCAACTGGTTTGGGGTTCAAAGTTGTTTCTTCTACTAGACTAGTTGCCAACCCAAACTCGAGATCATAGTCTGCGCTGTTAATATATAGATGATGGAGAGACTAGATGATTTTGTACCTTTTTAGAGGTATTCATCCAAGAACGATACCAACATCTTCGGCTGGCATTTGAATTTAAATGTCAAACGCAGTTATCATGGTGGTAACTGCTACACTAAGTCGACATCTACACTTGCATAAATGTATTAAGTTCTATATAAAGCGGCTCGTCAGAAAAAGTTCAAAATTTCTTGAACACATAATGGAGAGATTAGGAATTTTGACACACATAGGACATTGCTATGCGCTACAAAGAAATTTGGCGGGGAGATAAGATAAGGTGAGATAAAAAAAGAAGGATAGAGAGAAAATAAGTGAGAAAAACGAAGAGAAAAACGAAAAAAAAGGAAGAGAAGGAGAGAAAAAGAGAAAAGGAAGAGAAAAAAACATGGAGGGAAGAGAGAGAAAAGGAAAAGGAGAGAGAGAGAAAGGGAAGATGAAAAAAGAAGAGAAAGAGAAAAAGAAGAATAGGGAAAGAGAGAGAAAGTGCAAAGGAAAGAAAAAAGCGAGATAATAATTGAGAGAGTAAGAGGAAAAAGGAAAGAGACGTAAAGAGATAGAGAGAGAAAATGATAGAGAAAATTGGTGAGAAGAAAAGAGAAAGGAAGCGGGGAAGGAGAGATGGAGTGAGATAGATAATAGGGGAAGAATGAAAAAGAAAGAAAGAAAGAAATAGAAAGAAAGAGAGATAAAGTGCGGGGAGAAGGAGAGAGAAAGTGAGGAGGAAAAGGAAGAGATTAAGAGAAAGACAAAAAGGAAGAATGGGAGAGAAGAAGAGGGAGAAGTATAGATAAGAAGGAAAAGAAAAGACGAGCTGAAGTAAAATTAATATTAAATGCATTGTTTGTTTTTTTTAAATACGTATTTTAAAACGTTCTGATTTCATTTCCAACTGTTTTATTCAAACTCTTCCCTTAAACTAATGTTGTTATTATGTCATTTTCTTCATCAGTTCATCTATCCAGATAGATAGATATTGTAAATTATATATTCCTATTTCTTCAAGGAAAAGCCTCATCCCTTATAACATCCGGTCCCAACAGCTTTGTCGTTGGTTAATCATTGGCTGTCATTGACGTCATAACCACTTCGACCGGTATCAGTGGACATCTATGACGTCCGAAAATTAAAGAACCAAAAAACAAAATAGAAGGAGAAACAAATGGCTTATCTGTGGTCGCCATTTTTACTGGGTTACACCTGCGCATGCGTGCTCGATCTTATCGCGAAACGGCAGCCATTTATTTATCAAAGCGGAAGTACTACTTTGTATTTATGCGCGTGCGTGCTGTCAGACAAGAGGATTTTTTTGTTCTTAATGTTCTCATGATATTAACGATGCGGTATTAAGACGGAAATAGCGTTTGTTACTGTTATTGCTAAAGTGTTTCTTCTGCGAATGTGGCCTTTATTCAAGTCGATAACGAAGCAAAAGTGGGGAATTAATGCTAATGTATCTTTATTGTTGAAGGCCATCTTGTTTACCCTGATTTGTGAACAATCAATGAATTTTAATATTTCAAGATATTGTTACGAAGATGTCTGTGATAATAAAGTCCTACTTTGAGGGACTTTATACAGAGAGGGTCCTAATAAGTGAAGGGGTCGAAATGTTTCTCAATATGCAAAATAACAGGGGTCTTAATAAAAGAGGTAAAATTAGAATTTAAACAGCGGAATGGTCTAACAGAACCAAAGAAAGAAAGACAAAAGAGAGAGAAAGAGAGAGAAAATGGGAGAGTAGGGCAGACAGAGAAAGTATAGAAAAGAGGTAGAAATAAAATGGGAGTTATAGGAAAAGATAGAGATAGAAAAGGAGAAATAAGTAAATAGAAACATGGATAAAATAAAACTGAAGGAGAGTAAACAGAGAGAATAAAGGAGAGACGAGGGAAAGAGGGAAAGGGAAAGGGAAAAGATAGATGCAGAAGTGGAGAAAGAAGTCAAGAGAGGAATGAGAGAGAAAGAAACGGAAAGAGGAGAGATAAAATAGGAGGAGAAAGAGAGGGAAAATATGAGAGAAGGATAGAAAACAGAAATAATAAAAGAGAAATATAAAGAAAGAAAAAAGAGATATAATGAGAAAAGGAGAAAGAATTAGAAAGAAAGAAAGAGAAATGTGAGAGAAAGATAGAGAGAGAGAGGAAAAGAGCGAGATGGAAGAAGAAAGACAAAATAGGGTCAAGAAGGTGAGGAAGAGGGAGAAAACGAGAGAGAAGGATATAAAAAAGAGAGAGAGGATAGGACAGAAAGAAAGCGGGAAAAAGAGAGAGGTTGGAAAAGATAGAGAGAGAGAGAAAGGAAAATGGAGGAGAGGAAGAGTAAGGAAATTGGTGAGAAGGAAAGCGAAAGAGAATGTAAGAGGAGAGAAAGAGACAGGTACAATAGAGAGAAGAAAGGAAGGTAAAGAGAGGGAGACTTTTCGTAATTTCTGATAAGATTGGAGCACGCGAAGAAAGCCGGTTATTATTTAATTCCTCTTCGTCGATATGCCAGTTCACTTCACCATATGACCGATCATGGCTCTCCCCAACTTCCTCTCCTTTGTAGCGCTTAGTAATATTTGTTTACCATCTCTCTGAATCTTCCCTCCATTCACATAATCTCGTCAGGTAGGTAAGCTTTTGCCACCCCCACGCCCATTCGCCACCGATATTCTCCTGTGTATGTCAAACTTCCCAAGGAATCCATTATGTATTCAAGAAAGTTTTAACAGTCTCTTTCTTATTGTAGGTGCTCTTTTGGTTTCCATTTTCCTTTAAACTTTTCCGGTGCTTACAGGCACATCACGTACGATCATATAAGTTAAGCAACGTCGAACCTGATCAGTACCTAGATGGGTGACCGCTTAGGAATAGCAGGTGCTGCAAGCTCGGGTGACGTAGTGGATAATGGCTCCGAACTATTAATCGGAGAACCGAGTTCTAATTCTAATTGGCTTCTTTATATTCACTTACACACAAATATCCTACGGAAACGTATAAATCCACCTCTTCTCTCCCTAACTATGGGTTAATTAGTAAGATTTGTATCACTAAATTATTATTACTGAAAAAAAGGAGTTCTTATAACCTAAACATATTTTCTGACGTTAAATAACCTGAAAAAGATTGAAAAAAATCAATCTTTCTGATTCTATATCTTCTTTTCGTTTCAGTTTTCGTTAAAACTTCTTTGTTTACCCACTCCGTTCATATTTGTATGCGAAAACTGTGGAATAAATTTAAATATCGGCACAAATGGCCCAAATAAAATCTGAAAGTACATTTTAATTTTGGTTGCTTGGTTTTCTTTAACGGCATGTCAACACCTAAATGCGTTATTTAATGCCAAAATCTAAATAATTGGAACACAATGTTATAGCTTCAAATAAATATATTTTGAATTCAACTGCAGATAAAATGCATTGTTGGTCATTTTACTATAAATTGTTGGTCCTTTTCAATATAAAAATGTATTGTTGGTAGGTTTATTACAAAAATGTATTTTTATACTTTCATAGTGTTTTCATAGTGGGGGTTCACTATTTGCCCATAGCTTAGACCCTAACAGGTGTTACCACCCCGCGTCTGAGTGAACCTAGGAGCAACAATAATTGCTGACGGATGTAGTTTATCGCCATAAATTACTATTTAATCTCCGGAGAAAAATACGAAATTAATAAACGTGATAATATTAGAACCAAAGAGTGAGTGGTACTTTAAATTTAAAAAATTTTTCTATTAATTTTTTTCAGAAAAAATATGTTTCTCAAGTAACTGTTATCACTCTTTCTTATATTTATGGGAGTTTTCTTCCTAAGCTTTTGTTCGACGTACTTTTGAACTTCTTAGTTATGTCATTATTTTCTATTCTAAAACATATGCTATCCATTTTAGTCGTTACTGATGTTGACAGTCCTCAAATGATGTGGTTTCTGATATTTAAGGTATAGTTTTTGGGATTTGGTCCACAAGGTTTAGAAGAATTGTCCTCGTTAGATCAACTTGCTTCACAGGTTTTTCTCCATTGATCTTGGAATCATTGTATACAGATGACAGTTAAATATTTCTGAACAGGTTTGAACATTCATTGGCTCCATAAAAGATCAGCTGATTTAAGAACAGGAGCCGAGTTCTTTGAACTGTGGGTAAAAGTTCTAAATTAATAAACATGGTAATGTAGAGAGAGAGACGGAAAATTAAAAAACAAAACAAAACTAAACATCTCTTTCCCTCTATTAGTCGCCTAAGTAAGTTTACGTACCTTTCATTGTTGAAGGATTGACTGGCATTCGATTTCCTCACCAAATGTAACACATGTAATTAGACAATAGTAAGTTAATTGTAAGTCCTTCCAGAATCTATTAGTAGCAATCACAATCTTAACAGCATTAGATATGCAGATGACACAGTCTTGATAACCACGATAGAGAAACTTTTCTGTCTGTCAGGCCTGGCTGAAGTTAGACCCCCCCCGGCCAACAACACACTGTGCCTTCTTGGCTTCACATTTTCAATTGACTTCAAGTCGAGTGACAACATCCAATCAATAGCTGCATCTACTGCTAGCAAAGTTTTGTTACTGTGCCGTTCCAGAACATTTTTCTCATCAGACTCCATCTTGCACATTTAAAAATCTACCATTCATCCATACATTGAATACTGTTGTCATATCTGGTCTGGTGCTCCTGCTATTCATCTCGAGGTTCTTGACAAAATCCAAAAAATGATCTGCAATGTAATCGATCCTGACCTGGCATCTCGACTTCAGTTACTTTATCACTGATGTAACATGGCTTTCTTTTTTTAAAGATGTTCATTTCAACTGCTCTGACGAGATTTTTTTTTTTTTCGCTGGTGCCGCGACTACATGAATCTAAGCCTGCTACTAGATTGGCATTTAGGTCCCAACTATTTTATGTTGAAATAGCTAAATGCAACCCCCACTTCTACTCCAACGGTTTCTTTTTTCGCACTTCACGCCTGTGGAACTCTTTTCCGTTTACTTTCTTCCCTGATAACCACAATCTTCAAAAATTTAAATGCAAAGTCAATCGCCACCTTCTACTTTCTTGAATCCCGTTCATCTTTTGTCTTTTCCTCAATAATCACTACACTCAGTCTTTTCTCTCACTTTCAATATCGCCCCCACCACCACCACCACCACCACCACATACTAGTTGTATTTCAGCATTGCTTGGGTTGAAATGATTAAAAAACAGAAGATACAGAAATAAATATACAAGAAGTCTTACCGAAGGTAGGAAAGGAAAACGACAAAAACATTAATTAAATAGGAATAAATTGATCATCAGGAAGAAAGGGATTATCAATGGTTATGAATGAATGCAAACATTACTGGTAGAAGATCGTATGCATATTTATGCTCAGAATGATATCAGAAAGAGCAATACCGATGCAAAAGGATATATACCTATATTTTTTAGATTACGTCAAGGTGTTTGTTAAAATATCACAAAGAACTATTTGAACTATCAGGTAAGCTTGATTTATTTGAGAAGGGTATTGAAACAATCCAGAACTTATACTGGAAGCAAATCACCTGAATACGGATGGAAAATGAATTAAGCAAATATAAAAAATAGAAATTGCAGTAAGACAAGGATGCGCCATCTTACCGGACCTAATCAACCTTTAGAGTGACGTAATCCTGAGTACATTTGTCGTCCTACCAGGATTTATTAATGGTGGCCACAGTCTTAAGAACATTAGATATGCAGATGACAAAGTTTTGATAGCAGATACAGAAAGCGGAAAAAAATATAAAGGGAAGACAGCTCCCCTTAAGGTAAGGCTTCAAGAACACCAGAAAGCTGTAACATGAGGGGAAGTGGAAAAATCAAGCGTGGCTGACCACATATCGAGAGAGAAGGGAGATCACCACCCTCCGTGGGATCAGGTTGAGATCATAGACAAAAAACACCATTGGAAAATTCGTAAACTTAAGGAATCAGCACATATGCTAAGGCACAAAAATCTCCTGAGCCGACCAAGCATAGAAATGAAACCAATATGGGAACCAGTAATAAGTAGTGTCAGAGAAAAGCGATAATAACAACAAAAGTTGCAATATGAGCTATGGTAAAATCATTCCATGATAACAGCAAAAATTGCAATATGAGCACTGGTAAAAAATGATGCTGAAGACATTAGGTTTATAATACCCAGAAATTCATATACAGATGTCCTCAAGGACACATAGCACAGTGGATAAAGGCGTTATTTAGATCCAGTGACAGGACCCAAAGAGTGTTAGTTCAATACCCGGTTAAGGCAGTTAAGAACTTTCAGAGGAAAAGTAACAGGAGATAACTGATAACTGACATCCATTATGGCACGTGGAACTAGAACAGTCTACCCCAGTGAGCAAAATAAAGGGTTCAGTTCGACATTCCAACCACCTGAAGAAGGCTGGAGCGTAAAACGGCCGAAACGCTGTAATAAATATGGCGACAAAGTCCGAATAATATAAATAATGTACATAATACCTCATCTCAGTAATATACACAGACACAGAAAGGCAAGTACAAGAACTCCTACACAAAGTAGTAAAGAAAAGTGAAAAGTACTAAATATCAATTGTAAAGTAGACAGAAGGCGTATGATTGTTAGAAATAGGAACAGCGAACTACGAATTAGAGACACCAAAATAAAAATGAAGAATTAATATTGATTGATAATTGATCTCTCTAATATTTATTGGTTACTTCGAAATGTTTCCTTTTATTGTCCTTCTTCAGGACTATATATCTTTGACAAAACTGAAAAGGAAATATTTTTCCAGCAAACAAAAGCGATCAAAAACTTCAATAATTTCATTTGTTCCATCAGTTAGGACATTCGCAATTCGAATCCGTCATGCCACATGCACAGAGTCGACCCAATCTCCCTTCATATTCCATTGGTAAGGAGGAAGTCCTACACAAACAGCTTTTTTTTCTTTGTTCCACTAGTAGCGGTTTTCGGGAAGAATCTGCCTGAATAGATGGACTACAGAGACGAAAATGATTCCACTCTATGTTCGTGGGTCATATCTGTAAAGGTCTGAAGTGGTGGAACTAAGGAATGTAGCCTGTCTGAACATTTGCCATGGAAATAGCATAGCGAGTAGTGAGAGGCTTGCTGTAAAGGTCTGAAATGGTGAAACTAAGAAATATATCTCATCTGAACATTTGCCATAGAAATAGCGATAGAGGCTTAGCCGTAAAGGTCTGAACTAGTGGAACTAAAGAATGTAGCTTGTCTACACATTTGAAATTCAGCGATAGAGTAAAGATAGATTTTCAATGTTTCATTTGCGAGGAAAGAGTTCTAGGATTGAATATAATTCATCATCCGTAAGACCACTTTTGATCTCTCTGAAGACATCCAATAAGGGCTGAGCAGCACCAGCCCGTATCTGGCAGCAAATTCACCGTTTTTAGGTCTGATCTTGCTCGTGTAAATTTAAAAGAGTCGGGTACTTTCTTGAGGAGTAAAAGGAATTGACTATTTCCCACTTGGTTAATACTGACCACACCTAAAATGGCAATGAGAAAATATCTACCAAAAACGCCTCGACCCGATCAAGAAGATTTTAAAGCAAATCAATCCTCATAACTGGGGATGTCGGACTGGTCATGAGAATAACGATGGAGTTTTTTAAGAATAATGTAATTAAAAAAAGGGCACATACTTAAAATCAGAAAGAGACAGTTAAAAGTTCTAGGACACATGAGGAAAGAGGGTTTGGAAACATTGACACACACAAGACATATTGAAGGTAAACGGAAGAAATGGAAAATGCAAGTAATCAATCTGAGAAGATAGTACATGGTTAAGGAGTGTGAAGCGTGGTGAAAAAACAAATCTTACTAAGGATAGGAAGTCTTGGAGAACCATCATCACCCACGTCCTTAAGGGTTATAGCACATAGAAAAAGAAGAAGAAGAAGAAGAGGAAGGTCGAGCCGATACCTTTCCAATACCTCCTCGTAATAGAGTTGATAGTGCTGTGAATGGTTTTGGCCCATCATTTTAGAAATCGTTATATGATTTTTTTAATCATTTTACCCCAAGCTAGGCAATATAGCCACTAAGACGCAATTGAGAAAAAACATTATTAAAGAGAGAGAGAGAAAGAAAGAAAGAGGGAGAGAGATATCAATAAAAGGACATGAATTTAAAAAGAAGATAAGGATCGACATTGCATTTAAATTTTTGAAGATCAAACTTGACAAGAATGAAGCAGATAGAGTGTCCCACAAACGAGAACTGCGAGAGAAGAAACTGTTAGCATAGAACTTACGGTTACATCTCTCCATTTGATCTGTAGAATGATGAAACCTTGCTGCCAATCAAGTACTGCACTTAAATTCATAAAATATACTTAACAATTAAGTTGCCTATCGCAGTATCTGTTTTAAATGAGTGCGTTGGATTCAACCTGTCAGCTTTTCTGTGTACGTGACGCTATGGTTCTATCCTATCAGCTGCATAGACTGCGTTGGATCTAGCCTCCCAGTTATCTGTGTAGCTGACACTATAGATTTTGCGTAACTGCTATATGTGTATGTGACGCTATATATCCAGCCTATCGGCTGTGTAGGGGAATTACGTTGCTTCAAATCTCTGCCCAATCCATGTAGCTGACCTGCCTTGTATGCAACCTATCTTTGATCTGTGTAGTTTACGATATGGATCCAGCCAATCAGCAATATATGTAAATGATTATGAATCCTGCCTTCGAACAATCTCTAGGTAACTGCGTTGGATCCCTCTAACGGCTACCTGTTTTAGTTCACTGTGTTGGATCCAGCCTATCAGCGATTTATCTAGGGGGTTGGGAAAGGTGCCTTCCAGCTATATGCAGATGCGATGGATCCCTCTATCAGCTATCCGTTCTAGTTGACAGCGTTGGATCCAGCCTATAGGTTATTTATTTAGGTGATTGTGAATCCTAACATCCTGTCATCTCTTGGTAACTGCTTTGGATTCCTTTATTAGATAACTGTTTTAGTTGAATGCGTTGGATCCAATCTATTAGCTCTTGATGTAGCTGATTGTGAATCCATCCTTCCTGTTAATTATAGGTAATTACGTTGAATCCCTCGCTCGGTTATCTGATTTAGTTGACTGCGCTGGATCCAGCCTATCAGCTATTTATGTAGGTGATTGTGAAACCTGCTTTCCAGCTCTTCGTAGGAAACTGCGCTGGATCCCTCTATCATCAACCTGTTGAAGTTGACGACGTTGGATCCAGCCTATCAGCTCTTTCTGTAGCTGATTGTGAATCCAGCATTTCTGCTATCTATAGGTAACTGCGTTGGATCCATCCCTCAGCTACCTGTTTTACTTGCCTACGTTGTATCCAGTCTATCACTTATTTATGTAGGTGATTGTGAATCCTGCCTTCCCGCTATCTGTTGGTAACTGCGTTGGATCTCTCTATCAGCTACATGTTTTAGTTGACTCTATGTGTTTATTCTGTCAGCTATGTGCACAATAGTGCGTTGGATCCATTCTATCAGCTGTGTAGGTGCAGCTATGGATCTATTTCTTCAGCTATAAGTGTAAGTAATGATATGGAGGCAGAGTATCACCTATCTGTATAGATGACTGCATTAGATCAATCAGCTATCTTTGCAGGTGACACTTTGAATCCATTCTATCAGTTATCCATTGTATCAGTTATGTTGCAGATGACTGCGTTGCATCTAGTCTATCAGCTATGTAAGTAACGCTCTGGATTCAGCCTATCACATTGTCTGTTTCAGAAGCCAGCTTTGAATCCAACCTGCTGGTGTTGGTTTTATAATAATATGGAACATGTTCTGATGGAATATGTCTTCATTGGTGTGACAAGCACAAATTCCTGCTACAATCTATTTGTAACAATTTATGCTGGCTATATTTCCCTGAAGTGATTCTGTCATCTAGTAAGATAGCGCGTCCCCCTAATCGTCCGCAGGTGACACAAAGCTGGTTCCAGAAACACTCAGTTGACTTACTTTTTTCCGCGCCCTCCGAATTTAAACCCCCAGAGTATATATATATCTAAAATTCTCAGCAGACGCCCCAACGAACACACTTATGGACTGCCCTGAAACCTGCCTGGATATACATACCGATGCGACGACTCTAGCAGATCGTAAATTCCGTACTACGTCACGTAGCCTACGTTATTACCAGCAAGAGAGGAAATAAAAATTATTAGATAACGCTTTGAAAGTTTTTTGGCACTTCAGTTTACCAGTTTTAGTACTGTTGATAATGATGATAATGATGATGTCCTGCCTGAAATCCAATAGTTTTACTCTTAATTGTCAGATAAAACCAAATCTTTCATTCAACTCTTGTTTGTTAAGATAATTGCCTTTAATGACGTCATACAACGAAAATGGCGGAGCTTAGAGATTTGCGGAAAGAGAAAGAAGAGTAAATGTTCTTTATGTTTTTCGTTGTCTTTTGAAAAAAAAATACATTTCTTCATTATATATTAGATTGTTTCCGTCAATTGGGTTTTTAAATATTTATTTTATTTTTTTTCTTCTTCCTGTTTTTTTCTTCTCATATTTAAACTTCTTTCCGTTTTTTTATTTTTCATTTTACACCTGCTACACAACATTTCTTCTTTTTCTTCTGCTTTTATCGTTTCAGCCCAAGCAAGGCGATAATACCACTAAAACGCCAGGGGGTTATACGGAATAAAAGCAATTGAGAAGATAATAGTAAGGAGGAGTGAGGAAAGGACAATAAAGAAAGAAGATTCATGAAGACAGAAGATGGCTATTAACGTTCTTCTTCTTCTTCTTCTTCTTCTTCGTCGTCGTTTACTTCTCATTAGTAGTACGACTACTACTTTTGTTGCCTTCGTTTCTTCTTCTTCATTTTTTATTACTACTTCTGTTATTTTTCTTCTTTTTCTTCTTCATTTCTACTGTTTTTGTTCTTTTTCTTCCAGTGTCTTTTCTCTTCTACTTATCTTCGTCCAATTCTTATTTTCTTCTTCTTCATCTTCTACTTTTTTCTTCTTTTTCTCCCTCCTCCTCCTATTTTTATTACTTTTTCTTCTTTGTCGTTCTTTTTACTTCCTTTTTTTTCCAGATTTACCGTCATAGCTTTAACTTTTCTTTTTATCTTTCTTTTTTCTTTCTTTCCTTTTTATCTTTGCTTTCATATTGTATTTCTTCATTTGATATATTTTAATTTTTTTTCTTTTATTATTTTCACCAATTTCGTCGAAATTTATTTTCAATCTCATATTTTCTTCTCTTTTTTTCCCTTTTACTGCCCTTCTTCGTCTTTTCCTATTCCTGTTTTTATTTCCGTGTCAATTAACCCTCCGTCCATTTTAATCCAACCCTACCGGTAAATTCAGCGCTACAGCCCCCGCCCCCCACACACACACTCACATACCATATCCTACGGCTGATGGGATTAGATTTGAACCCTGATTATTATTTAATCTGGGCAAAAGATCTTGCCTTATTGCTTTGGCAAGAGAAGAAAGAACGGACAAGGCAAGAAAGACTGATTGAGTCGGAAGTGGGGTAAAATTTCAAGGCCGTGAGGGGCGGGACGGATTTAATCACAAAAGAATGGCAAGTTCTTAAATAGAAGAGCAGGAAGATAGAAAAAAGAGCAAAAAAAAATTGTTGCAAATTGCAAAGACAATTCTGCAAAGAAGGAAACAAGAAAACAACATAAACACTTAGAGAAAAGAGAAGAATGATGAATACGACACATTGACAGCGTAGGGGGTCAAAAGAAAGAGCGTAAAGAGAAGAAGAGATATAAATCGAGGGGGGGGACAAAAGAATTGTAAAGAGAAACAAAGAGAGTAAAAAAAAAAAGGAAAAAGAACCTAGAAGTGTCGAAGGACTCTAAAGAACGACAGAAAGGACAAGTGATATAAACAGAAAGAGAGAAACAAAGAGAGGGGAGAAAAAAGGCGAAAGTTTATGCTTCGAGAGAAATGTAAATGAGAGACGAAGAAAAAAGTTTGATTGATTCGTTTTTTTTAAGTTTTACCAACCTTCTGTAAGTTATTTTAAGCCAGAAAATATTCTTAGATTGTAAGAATTTGGTTGGAGGTAATAATGATTTATTGATTAACTACTAATTAACCCATAGCTGGGGGATAAGAGTTGGATTCATAAGAGTATTTTCGCATAAGAAAATATAGCGAACCCGACTGGAATTGGAACTTGGGTCTCCGATTTCTAATTTCGAACCGATATCCATTTCACCACCCGCACATCCAAGCCTACAGCACCTGGTATTCCCAAGCGTTGATCAACTTCGGAACTGGTGTTTTGTCAGGGTTTTGGTCGTAAGCCAGAAAAGCAGAGACGTCAATAAGGGCATATTAACAAAGGGGGGAGAGACAGGAATCCTGGAAATTCCGAAAGGGGAACGGTATATATTTGAGAAGAAATAAGAGAGAAATGCAAAGAATATTACAGTAGAGAAGGGCAGTTGTTGAATTGATGAAGAAAGAGACAAAAACAAAATACAAAGGATAAAATAAAAATTTTAAAGACTTATCTTTGGTGCAAAACAAGAACCAAATCAAGTTTATAATAAAGTAGAGAATAAAAATGTTATATACCGTACCTATGAACACTAATGTGTATATCCTAATCATCATACGTTAAGTGGGGACAATATGGTGTCTAAGTAGTCCACCACTAGCAGTGGTTTACCTACTTCACGCCGCTGGCGAGTATTGTATTTTGTTGATGTTATAAAGATTACCATTTCATTTCCAACGTCCATTTTGCTTATTCTTCATTCACTAACCTTTCCAGGGTTACAACAAAAAGGAAAAAGACGTGTGAGACGAGAAGAGAAAACGAGAGATAATTATTTCTTCAATAAGTAAAAGACAGATTCTTCCTATCTGCTAGACAGAGAATCGTCATGAATGCAAAAATAACTTGACACATATCCTCCTGCCGACTGTTTAAACTGTCGCCATGTTCTTTCCCTATATCGAATAAATATTTAAATTCGTAAATAATATTTTTTAAATAGTAATACTTTTTATAAAAATCAGATGAATGATAATTACAAACAAGATGAAACTAGACTTAAGAACATTAGAAAAAAAATGCACAACACCAGTAAAGAAGATCAAAAAAATTAAACTAATTATTTATTACAAAAAATTTAAAACGGCCAATCTTATAGCTAAAAATAATAATACACCTCTTAGATAAAAAAAAAAGAATTAAATAGGACAAATATTATTTACGATTTTAAATGTCCATTAAGGAATTGTGTTCCTGATCAATTAAAATTCGCAAATACTTATAATGGCCACACCACAACATGTTTAACAAGAAGACTCACGCTACATCTTTCTGATCATAGATCAATTAGGTCTCATTGAAATATTCATGGAGATTTACCAGAAACTATTCGCAACATATTCGTTGATAATACAAATATGATAGCATCGTCTACATAATAAAAGGCTAAAAATAATGGAAGCCTTATTAATAAAAACAAAAAAATAACACCCACTAATACCAAATATAAACAAAATATGTTGACTGCGTTTTTAAAATAAAACATTCTATAATACTAAATACATACATACAACAACCCATTTCCAGTTAACAGTAAATGTAATTCATCCTTTAAAATGGATAAATGTTTAGCCGAAAGCTCTTGGAAAAATAAATCATTTGGACAGTTTTTGTAAAATTTATCTCCTGAAAAGAAAAATTATAAGATCATATGAGAAATTATATAAAAAATTTAATCAAAGGACTTTGTCTGTCATATTTAATGAAGCATGCATGAAAGAAGGATTGCTGCCTAAATAGACAATATATATATATATATATATATATATATATATATATATATATATATATATATATATATATATATAGTTAAATTCCTAGATTTCTGTTGACAAGACAAATTGGTGTAAGACATTTGCAAAAAAATCTTTTGTTTTTGTCGACGCGTTTAGTCTTCCGACTTTTTCAAGACAAAAAATGTAATCGAAATACTTTTCTTGTTATAGTTGCATTACGAAATCCAAATTTAAAAAAGAGAGACGCTTCTACGTTAGCCTCTTTCTGGTTAATGTTAATTTCCTTTATACTAAGAGTTTGTTTTTTTCTTTCTATGTCGACAATATAGATAAATTCTTAGATCAGTTCTGTGAACAAGCAAATTGATATACGATGACAATTGGAAAGAATATTAGTTTTTGCCCACATGTTTCGTCTTCCGACTTTTTTGTTGTTCTATTAGTATATTAAAAATCCATATATATATAATGTTAATTTGAAAAACTCTTTTTGAAGTCAAAATTGCTGGTTTTTCAGTGGTTTGCTGATAAGGAGGCATTTATGGCAAGCAGACTTTGTCGTAGAGTGCTCAATATCGAAGACAGAGATAGAGCGTCAATAGAATTGATATGAAAATTTATTTTCACTTAACTCATGCTTACCTCAAACTTTCGTGGCTACATAGATGTGGCCAGTGTGTTAACTTTTTCTCAGTCCTACACGGTAGCATAGCAGAAACTGTAAATTGTGTCTAGAGGAAAAATTAACAATCATCACGTTTAAGAATCAAAACAAGACATTGAACAAGAGGAAGGAAATAATGGGGAACTGCAGACATTTAAACAAGCATCAACGTTGCTACCTAAATACTAATATAAAAAGAAAAAAAACGAAATACAACACAAAAAGCTTTCCCATAACAAAAACGAACGCATATACCTAACATCTAATCCATACCAATCACAAGAACAATCCAACCAGAAAGAAGTAAATACAATATCCCAAAAATAATAACCAGCAAAATAACACCCAACCATACAAAACACACACAAACCCAACATACAAATCACCACAACTAAACACTTTACAAAACACACACCCACTAACTACAATAAAACGAAAATAGAAAAATGCTCCATCCTTGGCCCAACGCTTTTTTTAAATCTTCATTAACGACCTTTCCGATGACATTAACTTTCAATTTGGCATCTACGCTGACGACACTACCATTTACTCCTGTCTCGATAGTAAGGCTGATCAGTCAGACGAGGTCAAAATTGCAGCTGATTTATAAAATGACCTCCAGTCCCTCGTTAACTAGGGCAAAAGATGGCTTGTCAATTTTAACGCCTCCCAAAATAAACTTCTCTCCATTAATCACCTGAGATACTCCTCTCTGCCTTCCATCAGCATGGCTAATGCTAATATCTAGAAAAGTGACTTGGTGCCGCTTCTCGAGCTACCATTATCAGTTGACGTGAAGTGGAAAGACTACATTGAATCAATCATTGCAGCTAAATAAGTTGGTTCACTGTGTCTAGCGAAACAATTTTTCTCTCCAGAATCTATCTTGCATACCTATAAGTCTACCATTCGTCCATGCTTTGAATATTGCTGTCATATATAGCCCGGTGCCCCTGCTATTTCCCTGAAGCTACTTGATAGAGATCCAAAGAAAAATCAGCAATATTATTGGTCCTGATCTGGCGGCTCGGCTTCAGTCACTTGCCCACCGCTGTAAGGTTGCTTCTCTATGCCTTTTTATAAATACTTTCGTCGTAATTGTTAGGATGCGCTCTTCGCTATGGTACCTACACTTTTTGAATTTAAGTGCAATACTAAACTGGCGGCGAGATTTCATCAGTTTACAGTTAAGCTAGCTAGATGTAACCGTAACTTCTATGCTAACAGTTTCTTCTCTTGCACTTCTCGCTTGTGGAACTATCTCCCGGCTCCATCCTTTCGAGCCAACTTTAATCTGCAAAAATTTTAATTCAATGTCAATCGCTATCAATTGTCTTCCTGATTGCTCTTTTCTCTTTCTTCTCATTACTAATGTTTCCGTTCCTTATTCCTCCACACCCTGCAACCTCTTGCGTCTTAGTGGCTTTATTACCTTGCTTTGGGTGATACCGATCAAAAAAAAAACTAACGTGGAAAGTCAGCATCTCGATTATGTTATTATTTTCGCTTCGCGTTACATGTTCTCTACATTTTAGTTTTTGCTGATGTTGAAAGATCTCAGGTGATGTGGTTTTTGTTATTAGGTACAGTTTATTGTGATTATGTAGGTCCAGTCCCCGAAATATGATGAAGAATAATCTATTATATTTTTTTGGTTTGGGCTATCACTTTACTAACCAGAAATCTGCGACCTGATACAAAATTAGGAAATATATTCTAAATTCTGTCACAAATTGCCTTAGTCAAGATTTTTTCATTACGCTGACACACTCAAGGGGTAACTCGCCATGCTTGTTCAGGTTTAAGTCTTCTAGTTATAATTTTAGAATTAAAGCACTGGATATGGTCAGCTGAACGAAAGCACTTTCAAGTAGA